GATAGAGAGGCTAAATGGATTTTTAATGGATTTTCATAAATAAAAAAATATTTATTTATTTATTTAATTCTCAATGTGATTGGACATGTGAGCCCCACTTATCTTCCGCATCAGACACTTTTTCATTTAGAATTTTAAAAGCACAGGAACTCCAAACTAAGCCTTATAAATACAGCTACAAATCTACAACAAAGTTACACTCGGAAGTCCAAAGGAGAGCTTAGAACGAGTTTGGTGAAGGTCTCAAGAAGCAAACATTCTTGTTATAGAGGTTTAAAGGAGTGATGGCTATCGGAAATTTCTCTTTACTTGCTGCTGCTGCAAGAAGGTATTTATATATGCATCTATTTACCTCGTAGATGTCATGAATATGGCTCTGGTAACTATCATGGCTGTGTGCTAAATTTCTTTTTGAATTCTAATTATGTTTTAAAAAAATAATAATAAAAAGAGGATGGATATAAGATGGAAAAAGAAATATAATTAATTGATTTCAATCCTCTTTGTGGTTGGATTTTTGAAGCATTTTCAGTTTCTAAAGAAATCCTTACTTAGTTTCATTATAACTTTAATATTAAATGAATGTTTTATATAAATTTTTATTTCATGAAAAATAAATGAAAATAAAATCTATAAAATAGACCCAAGGGTGTACTAAATGACTATGGTGGGCTGTAGCCCAAGTTGATTTTGAAGGGAAAAAATGGTCTATTATATAAGGCCCGCCAGCAAGAAGTTTGCTGCCTTTGGGCGAAAGGTGTTTTAAGGTTAAAAAAAAGGCTATATGGCCCACCATCAAATACAACACATAAGATTCGGGAAATGTATTTATAGTAATTGAAATTCACAAGTAGGAAGAGACTTTCAAAAATGAAACAGTATGTTAACTATTTTTTTGTATTTACAACTAATATGTATATGTATATATGTGAAATTGAATTATTTATATTTTGCACTTAGTATATCTGACGCTTATTTTGGTTGATACCAAGAAATTTAATATGTATTTATTTTATGATAAATCTTATTGAAAATTGGTCAATAGATCTATGAATTAGAGCAGTTTATATGATTTAATATATATTTTTATTTATAGAAAAACTACAAAATCTGTAAGTTAAAAAAAATTATTAGATTTTAAGCTATAATTTTTAAGTAGCTCACCCATTGATAAATTCCTAGTTTTGCCCTAGTCACATAAGGATATTGTACAGGAAAGACAAATAAATATTGAAGTTAATTACATTAAAACTCTTTGAGATTTATAAATATATATATATATATTTATACAAGTATTTATACAAGTGATAGTCTAAATTACTCTAATTAATCTAATCTTCATGAAAGGGAATTTGAACTTGGGGTCCAAAGGCAGGGCTCTTTGCCGTGTCAATTAAATTATGAACTTATGATTTAATCCTTACACCTTTGAGGAATACCATAGCACATTTAAATTATGAACCTATATTTGCTAATTATCTTACAAGAAGACCAGTGGAGACTAGGGATCGGAGACTAAAACTCTATTTTATTTCAAAATTTTCCCCTTGGTAATTTTTATATGAAGTTCATTTTCCCCTTTGTCGTTCTAAATCCAACTTCCTTAATTACATTGAGTGGAACACAAGACTTTAACCATTTGAGGAGTGATTTGAAACTCACACTGCTCTGTAAATACTGAAGGCTTGAAGGTAAAGTGGCCCTAATCACTGGTGGGGCGAGCGGCATAGGAGAGTCCACTGCAAGACTCTTCTCAAAACATGGAGCTAAAGTTGTGATTGCAGATGTGCAAGACGACTTTGCTGAATCTGTTTGCAGGGACCTAAGCCCTTCGTCCACTTCGTTTGTCCATTGCGATGTAACGAAAGAAGAAGATGTCGAAAACGCTGTCCAAACAGCCACAAACAAATATGGAGAGCTAGACATCATGTTCAACAATGCAGGTATAATTGGCACAAATAAACCCAACATCCTTGACAATGACAGGGTAGAATTTGAGCAAGTGATTAGGGTAAATCTGGTTGGTGCGTTTTTGGGGATCAAACATGCAGCTCGCGTTATGATCCCAGCTGGAAAAGGTAGCATAATCAACACTGCTAGTGTTTGTTCTACCATCGGGGGTTGCGCATCACATGCATACACAAGTTCAAAGCATGGTTTAGTAGGGCTGGTAAGAAACACGGCCGTGGAGCTTGGACAACATGGTATTCGTGTGAATTGTGTGTCACCGTATGTAGTTCCCACGCCGTTAGCGAAGGAGTTCTTTAAGCTTGATGATGATGGAGTTCATGGTGCTTATTCCAACCTTAAAGGTGGGGTTCTTAGGGCAGAAGATATTGCTGAAGCTGCTCTTTACTTGGGAAGTGATGAGTCAAAGTATGTTAGTGGGCATAATCTTTTGGTAGATGGAGGCTACACAATTGTGAATGCAGGGTTTTGCATGTTTGAACAAGCTTGAGAAAAATGTTCAATGTAATAAGTTGGCAAAATAAATAATTTGCGCAGAGTCTCTTACGAACCGTTACTTGTGATATTCATGTTTGCCACATTACATAGCAGCTTCCTCCATTGGCAGTAATACTAAGCCAGGAGAAAGGGATGAAATAGTCCATTGTCTGAGATCATGGTAATATCTGAAGGATTCTGATAGCCTTGTTTATTGTTTCATGCAGAATTTGCAGATCAAATTGTATGGCTAAACATCACATTTCTGTACCTTAAAATGACCACCACCAATTTTTTGTCCCTTAAAATGAAGACAACCAATCCATTTTTTCTGTACCATCACACGCATTCCCTATCCTAATTGTACCTAAGTATATCTCTTAACACAAACACATGCCACACCTCGACATTAAACAAAATTGAACCTCCATTTCCGTGTATGAAAGAGAAGCACTAATTCACACCAGTTTTTTTTTGTTTTTTGTTTTGTGTTTTTGTTTGGGAAAAACAAATTACAAAGAAGATCCTCTACGGATCTTTAAACAAAATTGTACCACCACTTCCATGTAGCTGGCATGGCACGAAAGAGATGTTGTAAATATGTGGATGGCCCACAACTATTAGAATGAAGACTTTTGTGTGTTATAGGTGAAAGTGAAAAGACTAAAGTTAAGGCAGTGTAGAAAATGTTTACAACACCCGGTGAATTGCTTATCAAATTCACTGCGATAGATGTAAATTTTCCCTATAAGAGGAATCCTGAGCTGATGAAGCTAGACACATCAATCAGAAGAGAAAAAGTGTGAGAGAAATCAGAGAGTTAGAAAGTTTTATTTGAGAGAGGAAGCAATAATTCACACAAGTATTTTTTTTATTCACTGGTACTTTCATACTTTGTCTATTTTATAACCAGAGAAGCAATAATTCACACAAGTATTTTTTTTCTTTTTTGATGAAAACAAAAATTACAAAGAAGATACTCTACGAATCTTTAAATAAAATAAATAAAATTTGAAAATGTATAAAAGCTGAGATGGGAAATTGATAAACCATATACAAATACCTTTTTTGGTTTTTTGGCTAAAATCAAGGGTCCCACGACTGCAATGTGGGTAATTATTTTATTTTCCTGCCCTATAGCTGATATGGTATGAAAGGGAAGAAAACAAAGGTGTTACCCTCTTTTCGGCCGGGGCGGGCGACGGAAGGAACTTTTGGTCCTTCTTCTTTTGGATGCGGGGCGTGCCACCACCAAGCCCCGAAATTGGGCTTGAATGGAATGAGAATAGATGGATGTGTTGCGCTTCTAACTTCTGAGCAAACGATTGATCGACCAAGCAAGGAACCTCTTCTTGGCCTAGATTCTTTCACTTTCTCGGGCTCGAGAATGGTTAGGTTTCGTACGGATGTTTTTGTGATTTTTATGGTTTATGTAAAAATAATGCAATTAAACTAAATATGCGTATAAACGTAAAGACAAGAATTGAAATGCAATAAAATAAATCAAAGCGATAAATAAAGCGAGAACGAAATAAAAGCAATAAGAACAATAAGAACGAAAAGTAAATAAACTTGAAATTAAATTTAATCGAAGTGCGATAACAATTAAATGTAAAGGAATTGAAATAAACTTGAATTGAAACGACAAGAAATATAAACTGAAACAAGAATTTAAACGACAAGGAAAATATAAACTTACACTAGCAAAACGAAGAACTCACTACACTAGGTGCTTGAAAAATAAAATCCTAAGTCTAGGAAAAGAAAAGTGCGAGACGAAAGATAGGTTTGTTTGTCTGATGTTGTGTGTCTGATG